TGTTGCTACTTAGTTATGACATAATTTATGAAGCACTACTAGCTACACGATGTCATCATTTATCCGACGTCGAAGCTCCCGATAAATAACAATGCATAATCGGGAGCCCTGCATTCAAGACGCTCATAACGAGTCTGTGACGGCCATAGCGATGCGAACACCGTTCTCCTCTGCGTCGACTTTTTCTTCATCTGGCGAGTGGAGACTATTGACTGGAGGCAAGGACGGGCGTGTGCGTATGTGGCGCATCACTCCGTCCAGACAGACAATGGAAGCGTCTCTTAAAGAGCACCGTGGTCCTGTGAGTGCTATTCAAGTGACACAAAACTGTACCGCCTGTGTGAGCGCGTCTTCGGACGGCTCTTGTATTGTCTGGAACCTTGAGACGTTCGTGCGAATTCAAGCCATGTTTGCCTCCACTGAGTTCTGTCGAGTGTTGTATCATCCGGACGAGAGTCAATTGCTCACCTACGGCTCGGACAGACGCATCACGTACTTTGACGCGTACGATGGAGAAGCGATCCGATTTTTGGAAGAAGCTGCGGACCATGAGATGTTGGCTATGGACATCGAGCACAGCGGGACACTATTCGTGACGGGTGGGCGTGACGGAATGCTCAGACTCTGGCACTATGACAATGGTGAGACGGTTGCAATTGGTCGAGGTCATATTGAGGCTATCAATGCTGTCAAGATTTCACCCGATCGAAAGAAGATAGTCACTGTCGGCTCCGAAGGCGCCGTCATGATCTGGGAAATGGGAGATTTGCTTGAGCAAACGCAGGGTTAAGCTCAGGTAGTTTGCTATAGCTGCGTATTTCTTTATCTTTCAAAATGTATTGTTAGTGATAACCTTTAAAGTATATTGTGCATTTCCAAGTTGGGGTAAATATTTTATTTCAGATTCCAGATTGATCTTAGCTGCTAAGACCAAGATGCTAAGACTGCGCATCGTCGTGTCTAGACTAGAAAGACACACTATGTGCGTGTCTTTGGCATATTATTTATGAAACCTCAAAATACGCGGCTCCAAGGAGAGATTTGGTGCTGTGACAGGTCTGTACGAGTGATCAGCGATCTATTAGACACGTTGGGACATCGTTTTAGCCCCTCGACTACACGACATTAAGCTACTGCGAACAGCGCTCGCAGCAGCGGCGAAGTTGCGAACGGTAGGAGGCAAATCCAACTGAGGTATCCAAATCTGAAACTCTCGCACTTCAAGTTATACATGTAGTTGCCTTATTTTTAATTTCGCATCCTGCGTGCAGCAACGCGAACGAAACTCTTTTGACCTGCGTCTTACGCCATGCGTGAGGGTGAAGCCTCAAGCTCAACCGTATCACACTGCTGCCGCCGGAGACTTGCCACCCACTCGGGTCTTTGCTGCATGAGGACTCTCATTCGAAATGAGAGCCTAGAGTGAGAAATGCAAGATCCGTGCCATATAACCTACCTCGGTTGTTGCAAACCTCTGTCCGATGCTTATGCACCCGACGACGCAGATGCCATAAGTTATGGCATCTATAGCCCATACCTTGTGCTCTCGTAAACGAACAAAGCGTTTTTGTCTCAGGATCGGTTGTCGCCTTGCGGGACTCACACCGTCGCGCAGCGCTCGCTTTTAACACGCCATCCCCCCGTTTAGACACGCACGCGGTCATGCTGTGAGCCAAGCGCTGTTGAAGACGTCAGCCAATGGGAGAAAACCGCCGCGGTCTGCCAGAAACGCTGCCATCTTGGTGCACGGCGACGCACGAATAGCTCAGCGCCGACTATATGTTTGACACCGTCGGCTTCAATGCTGCCTGGTTCATTTTCCATTTTCTTCGCTTCTTAGGACGTGACTGAGCAGCTACACCCACGTTACAATAACCATGAGTTTCGCGTTGAACGTGACTGTACCGATGGCGCACGACGCACGCTACTTCGACAATAGTTGGCTGCAGATTGGTCAGGACCTTCGCACACAGCGCTGGAAGAACGTGGTGAACATCGACCGTATGCTGCGCAACCACCAACCGCACGAGGTGCTCACTCACGTGGAGCAAAACACCAACTGGAGCGCCAAGACGTTCACGTTGGCGCTCAAGGTAGAACGAATTATCTTTGAGGCTGCGACCTCACGAGAGAGCTACCTAGATGAGAGCACGCTGCGTGCTCGTGTTACCCAGGTATCGCGTCGGCTCATCGATCTACGCAAGCGCAAGAATATGGTCAAATTCGGCATCCGCTTACCGCGCCAGTTCATGGTTGCCAAGCGTCAACGACATTGAGCGTGACAACGGCACCGAACCACTTAGGTAGATAGCTCCGCTGACACTGTACAGGAATTATTTAGTTCACGTAGCTCTGAAAACTATTATACTTAAGTAATAAATAAGTGAATAAATTTTAATTTTGAAAAAAAGCAGGGTGTCAACTTGGCTCTTTTACTCGAAGTGTTCACTTGCCATTACAACGATTCATGAAAACTGGGCATTAAGACTACTGCAATTGCGTCTACGAAGATTCAGACGAAGATGATACAATGTCCGCTGTGCTTGCGACGATGTTATCGTGCCTGCACGCTAAGGATCCAATGTCCGCTGTGCTTGCGACGATGTTATCGTGCCTGCACGCTAAGGATCCAATGTCCGTGAACGAGCTTCTGAACCCGCTGGACGAGAACACTACTGCAGAAGATTCCACACCCGGGCGAGGATGATATGGAGCGTAGTATTGAGGAGGACGTTGAGCTAGAAGCAATTAAAGAGCATCTCATGTGGATTGGTAAGCTTCTCGCCGTGCAGGTGCAATTGGAGTATCGGATAGATCGATGAGTGGATTGCTAGAAATGCAACGCACGCTTCGTGAAGAACTTGGAAGGAAGCAAGGACACAAGCACCAAAAGTCTTTGCTAGATTCCTTGGGATATCCTATGCAGTTATGACTGTTCCCATATCTAAGCACCCCAGAATAGGAATTCTTGACTTCAGATTATTCCATTTTACAACTGAGGGGATAATAACCGCTAATATATTGCTATTGAGGGAGTATTCCATTTCTAGGGATTACTATCGAGGGGATCGTCTGTATTTCTAGTCTCATAGAACACGACAATGAGCAACAGTAGTGTGGCCAATACGTCGCTCGTGCAGGAACCCGTGATCGACACGGTCGCGCCAGCGGTGTCTCCTGCAGCGGTGGCTTCCACACCGTCAAGCGAGCAATGGCGGGTGTTTCTGGGCCTTGCTCTGCTCGCGGCGTCCTACGTGCTTCGCGTGGAGGTCGTGCGATTCTCCCTTCGCGTGGCCCGCCGAATTCTTCCAGCGCTCTTCGTCTGGCTTCGGGAGTTCGAGAAGATGCTACTGCGGCCTCTATCTTGGGTAGTTTTCGTTCTACTGGCCTGGTTCTCGGCCTTCGTGATGGACCTGGAGAATCTACTGGACATGGAAGCGGGTTCTCTTCAAGGTATCATCACTCTACTTCTAGGGCCTCCGCTGGTATGGGTCGTCATTTGCTTCTGTAACTACGTCACGTGGGGTATCGTCCGCGTGCAAGGCTGGAGTCGAACAGTATCAAAAGACGATGATGATTACAGCAGAGTCATGATCATTACCGAGGGCATTGGGGTAGGTTGGGCAGTGCTTGTAGTTTTATTGTTGTGGTTGCTCATGTGTCTATTTGGCAGGTTATTAAAGTTTTACTGGTGGCTGCGGTGGTGTCTACGTGTATTATTGACGAGATCGGACGGTTCACGGACTTCGAGTCGGGACAGGTGTCCACAGTAGCTGTGATCATGGTGGAGTTCGTATTTGTATTCGGTGCTCACTCGTGGGTAAGTTTGACTGTATTGTGAGAGTTTCATAAGTTTTAAAGCTGATGCTTGTTATAATTATTGTAGTTGAAAAATATTATGGGCGGGTTAATGACGCTGCAAGACGAGCAGATCAAGAACGGCCTTCATGTGTCTTTCCAAGGCCATGAAGGAGTGGTGGAGCGATTATTTCTGCAGGGGTTTTCACTGCGTCAATACGACAAGGGGTTGGCCTACATTCCAAATAGTATTATGCTGGAGAACTCGGTGACAGTGCAAAGCAAGAGTCTTGATAGACGTTGCGTCATTCCAGTGCATCTGAGTCACTCGACACCGTCGACAGCGCTGCGAATTTTCATCCAGGAACTGGATAATTTCCTGACGCAGCACATGCTTGATCGTCGAACGAATACGAAGGGCGACGTGCTGGGACTCGAGAAGCCAAAAGGTGGTTGGGATATGATGAACGTTTACGAGCACAGCAAGCAACTTACGATCGAAGAAACGCAGTCGCCAGGTCGCTTCTGGATCAGCATTGAGGCGCCATATCTTGTCCATGTTGTCTATTACTCTCAAGAGCGGCACATAAAGGGGCTTCTGGCTGAGAAAACCGAGGTTCGTTGTCTTTGCGGTGGCTTCTCAATACGATAAAGACTTACGTTGCTTTTGGTTAGATCGTGCTTCAGATTACGGAGCTGGTGACTAAACTCAAGCTGAGTTTGTTCGGAGAAGAAGGCAACACTGGTCCGCGTGCTTCAATTCCTCCGTCTACCGTAGGAACTGAAGTACCTGACTTAACCGAGCGACACTCAAGTTATAGCTCTGCGCCACTACCAGAGCTGGTGAGGATTCGTCAACGAGGGCGAGCAACGCAAGCCAGTGAACCAATCGGGCGGCGAGTCTTCAGTGAGCGCAATATGTTACGACAGCGGCGACCCCACGGTGACCGTGCCGACCTTGTATAAATTAGCACTAATGTTATAATCCGCGGCCTGTTGGCAACGCATTGACTCCAAGCCGCTGGATTGTGTCGATGATGGCGAGATTCACCTAGGAACGAAGAATAAGTGATAATTCCTGGTATGTTTGCAGTCAAGAACACTAACTCACCTCCGTTTTAGCAGCTTCAAGTGAGTTGAAGCGTTCACGATCCATTAGGACAATCACTTTGACCGTGAACATTGCGTGGAGCTCAACACGCACGGGTGGTGGTGGCGGTGCAATCGGTCGGCCAGTCGCATCGAACGCACTGGAGGTCGCACTTGACCGACCACGCGTACGTGGCGTGCCGGTGTTAGCGTCACTGGTTGCAGTTGATCGCTGCCGGTCACCCAAAATGCTGTCGCCGCTCTCTGCACTGGTGTTGCTGCTCGCACTGCTGGACCTATGAAAAGCCTCACATCGATCTCTTCGTAGCGCTGAAAGAGCTTCAGTTGTCAGCGCATACGCTGGCAAGACAGCCTGCAACTCCTGCACAAGTTCCTTCATCTTTTGAGCAGGTGTAGTTGGGTGTAGACGCAGCATGAGAGAGTGCGTATGCGCCTCGAGAGCGTTGCCACTGGTCTGGTAACTGTCAGCGAAGATGCCATTCGGCACAAATATCCGCGATCCGTCAGTTCGTCGCATAATCGTCCTTGCAAGCGATACCCGCTCGATAAAGCCCAACATTCGTCGCACTTTGACCTCACTGCCAGTCCGGAAAGGCTCTGCAAAGATGAGGAACAATCCTGTTGCTACATTTTTCAGCTGATAATAACAGGATGAACACATTGCTTCATTAGTTCCACTAACCATTCAAGGACATGTGTGAGATTGTACTCACCACGGTGAAGCCTGAGAGAACAGCGACTAGTTCAACGCTCAGAAACCCCACGACGAGCACGTAGCGCATGAACGAGTTGGATAGGAAGAAAATGTAAAAAATCTCGATCAGGATGAAGACAACGCACACGAACTTGATGGATTCGGTGATGACGAAGATCCGTGCGTCGTAGTTCGACGAGCTGCGGTCCCATTTGAAGTACCGGACAAAGAGCTATACACGAATGTAAGTGAGAATCGGCGTATATCACTGGTTCTAAACTTTTGCATTCGCGTACATTGGTGACGACTTTACGCATAGCGAAGGTACCGAGCACGAGCGGGATTGCTACGAGGTAGCTTAGGTACTGCATCACCTCGTCCTTCTCGCTTCCAAGGTCCAGAATGTACCGGGCGATCACATCGCGCACCAGTATCAGGAACAAGAACCACCATAGATATGTCAGCATGTAGTGCTGTACGTCCGCGATCCATCTAGACGATAATAATGTGTATTAGAAAAACTCAATTTGACATTTTTTCTCTTAATAATTTCAAAGCATTGAGGCTCGCACCGCACGCGCTTGTCGAGACGGGAGCGGATGGCATTGAGCAGCAGTTCAATGACCGGGCGAGAGAGGAAGAAGGCGGCCAGGGTCGCCAGGAGCGCCAACCCCACGCGCCAGAAGATGAATGGGATCATATCGGCGAAGCAGTCGTTATGGGAGGGTACGTTTTTCTAAAAGTGTAACCTGGTTACATAAGGGTACACGTCGTGTCAAGGCAGAGACGGAACTCTCTGGTCAGCGCAAGGCACACGGGACGTGTGCTCCGCATCAAGTCGATGCAATGCTGCTGGGCTTCATGGCGTTGAGAGTGTTGAAAAACGCACAGTGCAAGACTTTAATTCATAGAGCTGAGAGCAAGAAGCTCTTGAAGAACTGCATCGTTCGTTGTTGCCATCGCGGGTCGCTGGCGATTATCTCTTAAGATAATTGATCCCTTCACTTGACACGCATAGCTGTAACAGCCATGGCAGATTACACACTAGTTATGGCAACCTGCGGTCCAACATCCTTGCGCCCATGGCATTCCACGGGCCTGCAGCTTCATGAACTCCAACGTGCGGTGCTTGCGACTTGCAAGGCTGCAACGTTCGAGTGAATCCTCGTGAGTCCCACCTATGTATCTCTTCTGAAACCTTAGTCTACCAGACGTAGATGGGCCGGGGCAAGCAGACGTCGATATATCGCACCGCTATCCATATCTCCTAAGCCTCTATTTCAAGCGCCATGCAAAATCGGAATATCCACCAGCTATCTTAGGAAATAAGCAACCGCATTCCCGCTCTCTACAGTCATGCACACAGTTCGTCTGCGAACGAGTCTCTGGTTGCATTAGCTAGCCCAAGTCCACATCAGAATCAGCCCAGAGATACAAGACCATCAAGCTATTGGGCCACGGGCTCCGTTAACATTGTGGTGCTTGACCACATGAGCTTCCGATCGCTGCAGGACGAGCACTCGGGGCTCTCGGAGTCGCAGCTGGACGTGCTGCACGCGGTCATCTTGAGCTGCTGCGGGGTCTCGCTGGTCGGTTGTCTGTACATCCTGCGGCACCACTACGTCTCCGCTCGACTGCACAGTGGTGTCTCAATGGTGCAGAAGATGGTGGTCGTGCTCTCGGTGCTGGATGCGGGTTTAGCCTTCCCAAAGATGTTCGGAAACCCGTTAACGGACTCTACGAACGTCACTGCGGTTTGCAACGTACAAGCCTTCGCGCTGCATGTCTTCGGCCTCATGTCGGTCTTCTGGAATGCTGCAATCGCGCATTGTTTCTATCGGAAGATCGTACACAGAGACAGCGAAGCGAGACTCAAGAGCAGGTTTAAACTCTACGTTCTACTGGCCATCGTGCCTGCTGTGGCCTGCAGCGTGGCGCTCTACGCCGCCAGAATGTTCGGAGACGCCACGTTCTACTGCTGGGTCGAGTCGCGTGCCAAGCAGTTCTGGGCCTTCTATCTGTTCGTGGTCATAGCGATTCTCTACATTAGCGTCATCCTTTGGGTTACGCACAACCGCATCTCACGAGACTTTCGAGACGCCAATTTGGACGCTCAAGAGTCCTGGGCACTCATCACGTCCAAGCTGCGGATCTACATTGCTGCCTTTATTGTGCTATGGACACCCAGCACGGTATTTCGACGTAAGTGTATGGTATGATTGATTTTTTATGTTGTTTATTGACTTTATTTTTTTTTTTTTTGCAGTTTTTGACGATGAATTGGGCTCGTCAAGGTTTGCGGTGGCACTTTTGATGCAAGTGACAGTGTGTACACAGGGCTTGGCGACTGCTATTATCTACGGAGGACTGCTCACCAAGCTGTACAGAATTGTCTCGTGTAAAACGTCCATCTCTCCAACGCACAAGTTCGTGACTTCTCCGTCGTTCCCGACGATGGACACGGGCACAGATCACAGTCTGGTCAAACACTACCGTAAACCTGCCAACATCTTTGTGTCTACTTTCAACATGGGTGAAGCCAGACTCACCCCCGCTCAACTGGACAAGTGGATCCCGCTTGGACACGACATCTACGTCATTGGACTCCAGGAATGTCTGCACTTGACAAACACTCGCAGTTTGATTCGCCAGCATCTTGAAGGTGGACGACCACGACCTGCAACCAGTGGACCTGCCCGCAGAGCATCGAAATTTCATCAGTTCAACCGCGAGATTGGCAGCAAGAACACGTCATTGGGTTATCATGGCCACATCGCCATCACCGTGTTCATCAAGTCCTCAGATGTGGACAACGGCGCCTTCTACATGCCCCCAGTGGTGCAACAAGAAGTCAACGTTGGTAAATCGCTGGTACTGGGTCGAGCATCCAACAAAGGCGCAGTTGGCTTCGCATTCCGGTATTACGACACTTCGTTTGCTTTTGTAGCGTGTCATTTGTCCTCAGATCCCAAGGTAACCAGGCATGGTGTGTGCTGTATTATTGTATGCTGACTGACTGACTGACTGACTGACTGACTGACTGACTGCTTTCTTGTTACAGGGAAAGTCAAAGGTGCGTCGAAGGAATCGTGACTCGCAAGATATTCTGAAGGAGCTGCATCTGAATCTAGAGGACGTGGGCTTCGAGTTCCCGCACGTGCACCACCACAGCTTTGTTCTAGGTGATCTCAATTACAGGTTAACACAGCGGGATGCGACTGCAAACACCATCCTGGAGCTGGTATCAAAAGTACGGCAATGTGAGACGGCAAGACCAGCACCGATTAAGCGGAATCGGAGCTTGCGTCGCGGACTCCTGGGCAAACGATGGAGTCCCATGGGAAGTCGTGGTCTAAGCAGCTCTTTCGGACTCGGTAGCTCTCTAGGTACCGGCAGTGATAGAGACAGCAACGAACTGGACGTCAGCATGTTGGAGCGCAGTGTTAAAAGCACTTCGTCGATGTTTGCTTCGTCCAATGGCAGCAGCAACAGCGTTCGATACTCAGCAGACAATGAGCTAGTGGACGACGATCAGTTTGTATGGGACGACATACTAGCACATGATGAACTGCGGACTGGTATGCAAGACGGGCAGATCTTTTACGGCTTCCGAGAGGCCAAGATTGCCTTCCCGCCTACATTCCGGCGTGTACGTGGGAAGGCGTTGAACCTCGACGCGGGCAATTGGCCTATGGAGGAGCTATCAGAGTGTTATACGACCGCCGTAGAAGGCCACGGCATGCGAGTCCCGTCCTACACAGATCGAATCCTGTTCTTCTCCCAGCCAGATATGCGTCATCGACTGCGGTGTGCTGTGTACGCGTCGTGCGAAGAAATCAATTGCTCCGATCACAAGCCCGTGCTCGCAGTGTTCCAAGCTCTTGTAAACCGTGACTTCTTACCGATTGAGACGGAGCTTGCGAACAAGAAACTACAGCGAATGCAGGACGTCAGCGGTGTACTCGAGTGTCAGCTACGAATTGAGTTGAGCAGCATTTCATGGCAGCCAGAGACGGAGGCGGACTTCCCTCTTACTTCATTCGGCAACTCCATTGATCTGGACCAGCGATTCTCGAGCTTTGATCGCCATGGACACCAAGTAATGGTCACGATCGTCTTCCCACTGCCGTCCGAAGATATTTTCTCGGCACAGCGTAAATTACTTGAGCTGGCGGACTCGATGAGCGGTGGAGTGTACCTGGAAAACACGGAACGATTGCTGTGCAAGACCAACGTGGCTCATGTCAAATGGAGTGACTTCGTACGCGACGGCATCACACACACCACGTTCGCACGACCAACAGGCAACATGCACGTGGCGATCAAGGTACACGCCGGTACTCAAGGCCCGTGCTTCGGCCAGGGCGTGATCTGCATCCCGCAAGCTTCAAACAACGACAGCGACGACGCGTCCGATGGGATCCAGAAACTCAACAATTTTGTCGTGGAACTCGCCGAAGGCGGACGACACACCGGCACAATGTCGGGCTCCGTGAGTCTGCAGCTCATGCAGCGCGCCAACGGCGCATAAATGACGCGTGTAAGTAAATTATTAAAGTTGATGGGGTAACGTAGTCAGTGGATTCAATGTCTATCGATCTCATTCTACCTGAGATCAGTGCTACATTCAGTAGTAAGTCTATAAAGGAGAAACAGAGACTTACAGCTCGTCGCTGAGACCAGCGGCTTCCGCTGTCTCCTTGATCGTCTCTGTCGGTTCCTCTTCGAGTGCCGCGTATTCGTCGTACGTCAGGTCCTTGGGGTTCTCAAAGTGTTTAGCCCATGGCTGGAAGAACATCATTAGTGCAAAGGCCACGAGCAGCACGAAGCTTAAGATGGCCTTGGTGCGGTTGTAGCCGGCCACGGAGCGGTGGAACGTGTCCAGTGCATCCTCCAGGTTTTTAATTTTCTTCTCGTAAGCTTCGCGCAGCTCCGGAGACAGTCGACCTTTCTTGATTCCAGCCTCTTCTAACTTCTTGTCCTGGAACACCAGTGCATTGTACTTCGCTAACTCGGCACGAGCCATGGCCACAGCACGCGCACTCTTGCCGGACTATAGGAAATAAAACGTATAAATCATTGGTTTTAGCTGCAATAATAGGGATTTAGAGCTGCATTCACCCACCTCCTTGGTCGTGTAGCGCTGGAATTCTTGGTCGAACTGCTCGACGGCGCGCTTGGCGGTCGTAGGCTCGGCGGGAGTCGTCTGGGCACTCATACTGGACTG